ATGTGCTGGTCACTATGGTGAGAGGATATTTTACAGCAATTATGACCAGTGTGGTGGCTAGCACCAGCTTCTGGATCCAAGACCCTAAAAAGGGTACGCCAAAAGCTCTGGCTCTGCTTTGATTGTCTTTGCTTCGCTGTATATTTTTGGGAAAATGTCTTCCAGGTGCAGGATGGCTATACCATTTCCTCATAGGGGAACAAGGATCACTGGAGGCTCTCAACACAGTTATAAGGTGTTTGGGATTCAGGGGGCGAATCGACCGCCCTGCGCACTTTCTCATTTCAGGGAGAGGCAAGGAGGAGCTGAGTGGTGTTGGATTTCTTCTTCCAGGGGTAACTATGTACAAGAACGCAATGAGCCAGAGTCAGTCCCGGTGCCAGAAACAGTGTGCGGTCAAAATCTTGATCATACAGCGTATTTAGATCGAAGAAACAAAAAACTAAAATAAAAACATAAAAAAGTTGAAAAATAATGACAACAAAATAAAATACACACGGGGTAGGTGGTAATGAAACGGCTGGAACTAATTAAGGTCAGTACGCGTGTCGCTCCACGTCTCAGAACGTCATTGCGCATTTCTGGCCTGAAATATTTTATGTAGGACATGTCAGGAGAGAAAACTGGTTGTGAAAGTTCCTAGAGGAAGCACCAACGTGGTGATCCTCCGAAGCGGTGCTAATGACACTCATCTGAAGACATTCATCTGAAGACTGGAGAGGCAGCCGGTAAGACGCCGATTTGTAACGCGTGTGCATGCCGATCAGCTGATGGGTGATTGTTAAGCGCAGCTCGGAGCTGACACTGTGGACTCCGGTGCGCATCATAAATGTTTGTGTTGGGTGTTTAGAAATCAGCTTGGTGTTTGACTGTTAATAAGCTACTTCAGATCTGCTCATTATTAGGCCCGAGCAGCGAAAGCGCTGCGAAGGCCTCTTGTTTTTGCTCTGATTATTCTTTTTTTGTTATTTTGTGCCCCCTTTGAACGGCTTTTTGGGGACCTTAACATACCCCAAAACTCACAATATTTTGCACACTTGTCAGGTCTGGTGAAAAATTTGATATTATAAAGGTCGCAAAAAAATCGCAAAGAAATTGGCTGAACAGCGCCCCCTACAAAGTGAAAAAAAAACCTCTCCATAAAGCTTAGTTTATTGTACAGTTATGAAATTTGGTACACTTGTAGTACTCAACAGTCCGCACAGAAAAGTCTCTTGCAAGCATGGTCAATATCAAACAGGAAGTCGGCCATTTTGGGTTGAATTGGCGATTTTTTGCCGTTTTTGCCGTTTTTAGGGTCCGTTTCTGATTGGATTGCTGGATCATTTTTTGCATGATCATCTCAAAAGTGGTGTAAAATTGCTCAGAAGTCATGGGCAAACAAAATGAGACAAGGATTCTGAGTTTTCGTATATGATGAAGGGGCGGGGCCAGGCCTCGAAATTTGACTACTCGCCAAAAAAATTTAAATTGCTATAACTTCGTAACTGAATGGAATAGAGTTACCAAACAATCTGTGGTCATTCGTCATCTCCCCACAAAGTAAATTGAAAGGTCGGATGATGACATCACACAAGCCCCGCCCCCTCAGGACCAAAAAGGTCAAGTTTTACTGTGAAAGGTCCCAAATTGCCCCATTTCACTTAATCACCTAGAATTTGCAGCTGGTAACTCAAGACAACTGGGGGTTGCTTGGCGTCACTTTATGGGAGTTTTCGGCAGAGGGCGGGGCTGTGGCGGCGCGGCAAAGTCAGGCGTACCGCCGTGGCCTTACGTTTGCTTCCCATTTCGTCATTTCTAAAGACATCGTCACGAAACTTCTTGTGAGTGATCCTAGTCTGGCCCCGCAAAAGATCTGATGTGAATATCCGGTGGGCGTGGCCTATTTTCTGAAATAGCGCCCCCTAGGACCATTAAAACTGTCAGCCCCAAGCCATGCTTTGACTGAGGATCACGAAATTTGGTACACTAATGTGGTGTCTCAGGACCTACAAAAAAGTCTCTTGGAGCTGAGTGCAAAGTTGCACAGGAAGTCGGCCATTTTGGTCCAAGTGCGCAATTTAGTGGTTTTCGCACACGTTGTTTGGAGAGTGATGCTCCATCGTCCTTTTCACCAATCTCCTTCAAACTTCTGCTATTTACTCTTAAGACAAAGGGGAAAAAATTCAACCGTCGGATTTTTCAAAAGTTGAAAGGTGTGGGCGTGGCTAAGCCTCAAACTTTGACCTGTCGCCACACCACTCTTTTTTTCACAGCTCCCTACTGGACTCCTTTTACCCAATCACCAGGAATCTCTGGCAAATAGCAGTAGACAACTGGAGGTCACTTGGTCTCCAGTACTGGAAGGTTTCAAAAAAAGGCGGGGCTTTGGGAGCATGGCGAAAATCGCCATCACGCCATGGAAATACGTTTGCCTCTCATTTCTTCAGTTATCGTGATATCGCTACGGAACTTCTGGTGAGTGATCCTAGTCTGACCCCCAAGAGACATAGACAGCTGAAATATGTGGGCGTGGCCTAATTTCTGAAATAGCGCCCCCTAGGATCATTTAAACTAATAGCCCCAAGCCATGCTTTCACTGAGGATTACGAAATTTGGTACACTAATGTGGTGTCTCAGGACCTACAAAAAAGTCTCTTGGAGCAAGGCGCAAAGTCTTACAGAAAGTCGGCCATTTTGGTCCAAGTGCGCGATTTAGTGGTTTTCGTACACGTTGTTCGGAGAGTGATGCTCCGTCGCCCTTTTCACCAATCTCCTTCAAACTTCTGCTATATATTCTTAAGACATAGGGGAAAAAATTCAACCGTCGGATTTTTCAAAAGTTGAAATATGTGGGCGTGGCTAAGTCTCAAACTTTGACCTTTCGCCATGCCACTCTTATTTTCACAGCTCCATATTGGACTCCTTTTACCCAATCACCAGGAATCTCTGGCAAATAGCAGTAGACAACTTGAGATCACTTGGTATCCAGTACTGGTAGGTTTCGAAAAAAGGCGGGGCTTCGGGAGCATGGCGAAAATCGCCATCACGCCATGGAAATACGTTTGCCTCTCATTTCTTCAGTTATCGTGATATTGCTACGAAACTTCTGGTGAGTGATCCTAGTCTGACCCCCAAGAGAAATAGAAAGCTGAAAATTGTGGGCGTGGTCTATTTTTTTACAAAGCGCCCCCTAGAGCAATTAAAACTGTCAGCCCCAAGCCATGCTTTGACTTAGGATTACGAAATTTGGTACACTAATGTCGTGTCTCAGGACCTACAAAAAAGTCTCTTGGAGCCAAGTGCAAAGTCGCACAGAAAGTCAGCAATTTTGGTCCAAGTACTCGATTTAGTGGTTTTCGCACACGTTGTTTGGAGAGTGATGCTCCATCGTCCTTTTCGCCAATCTCCTTCAAACTTCTGCTATATACTCTTAAGACATAGGGGGAAAAATTCAACCGACGGATTTTTCAAAAGTTGAAAGGTGTGGGCGTGGCTAAGCCTCAAACTTTGACCTTTCGCCATTACTTTACTTGACTTAATAACTCCCATGTGCATGATCAGATCTTTTTCGAACTTTGTCTGTGTGATCATTGACCACATCTGTAAACAATGACAATGTGGACAGCTGACATCACCTAAGCCCTGCCCCCTGACTACAGGAAGCCTATTGTTTTATGGTGAATTGCCCATATTTGTCCCCTCTAATTTAGTCAACACGAAACAAAGGTCATGCACTGTCTTCATGATGCTGTATTGACCATTCAGATCTGATAGCTTTCCAGAAAGGGAGGGGCTTTGATGCCATGGCGAATTCTGGCGTAACGCCGTAACCTTACAATTCAATTTAATGGTGAGCTCAGAGGGAATGCTGAGTCAGGGTGAGGTGCGGACGAGGTGACCGTTAGCGGTTTCTGGTGTTGGGGTGGTCGACGTTTCTGTTCCACGGACATGCCCTGGTGCCCTGGGCTGCCGGCCAGGCCGGAGCGGCGCGGAGCTGCGAGGGCCGAACGACGCTGCTTGCAGCTTTAATTTAATGTTGTGATGTAAAAATGAAACACAAATAGCTGAAGTGATGAATTTAAGTGAGCTTGGGTCCGACTGAATTAATCATGTATTTATTTTATAAATGTTAACTCAAAAAAATCATGTTGAAATCACGCATTTACCTATTTTATGATTAAGATAATGAAATTTTACACAATTACACTGTTTCTTAGCACGCACACTGTTTTTGTTTAAGGTTTTTCACCTGCTCGTAGGCTTTGCCTTGCTTCGTGCCTGCTCATCTCCTATTTCCGTCTTGGATAATATGAAATGGAAATGAAATAAAGGAAAATGAAAAGTGAAGCCATGAAGTCCTGAGTGGAATCCTGCATGAATTTCTCCAGCAGATGATCCCTGTCAAGTGGGGATTGTGTCGCCTAAAAGAGGAACTTGACAAACAGTGACAGTACCAGTACCCGTTTTGGTACCAGAAGCAAGACCAGCACCTGTGGTTGATCTCTGCGAACCCCTCACAGAGCCACCAAGTTTTCTTGTTTCAAGCGCCAACGGGCCAGTGTGGGTGAGAGCCGTGCCATCTCCAAGAACACAACCGATGAACGTCTGGCCGGGAACATGCATTATCTCCCCCAACTTTCCCCCTTGCCTGGTCAGTGGTTTCCAGGGGCATGTTGAGAGGAGACTTGGGGCAGACTCGTTGGTAACATAGAGTAAGGGTGTTCGTCAGGAGGGGGCAGAGGTCAAGCCCACCATCTAGTACCGTGAGTCAGGGCTTTGAGACTTAACACCTAGAGTTAGCCCGGTGGCCTGGCTCAGGACAGGTCCAGTGTTTTAACATTTTCTGTGACCATCAGATCTTGTAGTTTAGGGGGAGCCTGAAGAAAGGGGGTTGGACATAAAAATAGTTTTGTTTTTTCTAAATTCAGCATGCTTAAACAGCCATTGAACCAGTAGAAAAGTGCCATGCCTCATTGGTGATTCAAAAACTCCAACAATCACAGACCATAAAAACTCACCACTGTCGTCCTCCTGCCTCGTGCTGCTGAACTTTGTAACCAAACTGAGTTTCTTTAGAAGCGGAGAAGATCTTAAAGTTCTTCGTGTCAAAGTTGAAACACAACTGAAGATCTGAAACACAAAAACATTTGGTTCTGCTCACTGCTCCACATACGTGCCACTGTAACTTCTTAAAAAATAAAATGTAGGTCAATGATACTTGAAAACATGGATTAGAACCTGAACTTAGTGGATCTAATCAAAATGGGAGTGGTGGGGTGCAGCTTTCGGCAGTTAGAAGAAGGAGTAATCAGAAGCTGCATCCTTGTGAATGAGTCAAGATGAACGGGAGAGCGGACACTAACTTTTTCACTCATAGCGTTCAGCTTCCGCTCAAAATGTACAACTTCCTCGCAGAGCAAATCTCGCGAGTCATATGCTCACACTGTAGATCCCAGTTCTTGGATGCAACCTGACTGCTCACACGGTACTGCTGATAAGAACATGTCGGACCTACAACTATGCTAAAAATAGCAGGTTTTACACAACACGCCGTACTTTTTTGTGTTATTGATGTCTGTTGTCCTTAGGAGGACCCGCAGGAATTTATAGGGGTTGAATGAGGAAGACAAAAGAAACTAAAACAATGTTTTCAATTTAATTTCACATAAACACGCATTCTTGACAATATTTGTCATTGTATGCGAAAAAGTGAAAAAGTCGTACAGTGCACGCCTGGTTCAAGAATAGACGACATGTCTTTGGAGTTTCATGAGTACGTTAATCATTTTATTTGTTAAGTGCTTTCAACACAGCCATGCAGCTGACCAAAGCACTACACAATTAAAACAACCAGCTAAACTATCAAATTTGAAAGTACAGTTAAAAATAAGAACTTAAACTACACAGGCAATTAAACCATAAAATACACAAATGTAGGCAAGTAGAAAAGCTACTGGCTTAATACTAAAACTATATTTAAAAATAAAGGACTAAAAACAAAATGGGCAATTAAAACCTTAGAAGTAAAATTCTGGGCTGCCATCTCTCACGCAATGAGCATGAGACACACGCATTTGACCCTCTTCACACGCTCTCACACTAAACTAGCACCTGCGCTCCCCAAACGCGCATCATGCATGGTGCGTAGGGCTTATGAAAAAAAAACCAAATTATATTAATTATAACATTAGCTACTGAACAACATGCACACAAACAACACTTAAGTAATACTTTAACTGGCGTTATTTCACACACAGAATCCCATCAGTATAATCCAAGCCGATGGGTTTTTTTCCGCTCTGGTTGTGAGATGGGCAGAGATCCACCTGCTGTTGATGGGACGGGCAGGCCTGGTTCTTTCTCCCTAAGGTGACCATACATCCTCTTTCCCCCGGACATGCCCACTTTTCACTCTGACCGGGGAGTCCGTGGGGGGTTCCTACATGGATCAAAATGTCCAGTTTTTCATCCAGGAGCAGGGATCGAATTACAGGGGGACTAGATATCTTTCAGGGAAAGATCCAGTTTCTGCCTATGTTACAATATTTATGGACTCTCAGCATAGCAGGATTCTGTTGAACAGAGAGGACGCAGAGCGCTGATCGTTGGTGCACGGTGCACCCGCTGCGTCTGGCGCACGATACATTCTCAAGGTGGCGCAACAAAACATTATTATCAACACATGATCGTTCATATCTGTTCATATCCTCTGGTACTCTGTCTTTTAATCGTTCCTGATGAGCTCCGATCATCATGTGCTGCGGTGATTTCACCTCACTGACGCAGCATCAAAACGCTCACTCCCCTTTGTGGTCAGGAGATCCCTTTGATCTGCTCAAAAGTAACTGATGAGGTGAAAAAGTAAGAATCCAGGCAGCAGTTTTTCTGGAGAGTTTAGAGGAGATGCAGGAAGATGAGAGACAGACAGGACAGGAAAATAGTTAAATAAAAACAAGAAAAACAAAGCAAAGTGTTTGAAAGTAAAATGTAGGTAGATTTATCTCCACTACACATATTATAAAACAATAAGTTATACACATGTAATATTTATACATCTGACACAATTCAGATCACCTTCAAAACTCAGTCACACACCCAGGGCTGTTTCAAGGCATTCTGGGGGCCAAGGCAAAATGGACCCCACCCCCACCCCATCACTGGGTTCCCCCCCCCCCCCCCCCCCCCCAGAAGCCTCTGTGTAATCCCTACCCTATCCAGGAGTTATAATTACAGTGTTTGTAAAAACACCTCAGACATTACTGACATGTTCTAATATTATCAGACGAATAACAAAAGGGCTGGTTGCAGATGTGTTTTTCCTCATCTGCTTCTTTTCTAAACTCACAAAAATCTGTCAGTAACAAAACCATTTTAAAGCCACTATTTGTGGATTCTCTGAAAGTTTCCATGGAGTCCATGACAAACGTTTTTCTTATAATTGACCCTATCATCTAATCTCACAGCTGAAACAAGCATCCTTAACAATCTGTGCACAGGAAGTTTACCGATGCTGTAGTAAAACAAAAGGTATAATAATTTCTTAATAATAAAATGTTGTTGCAGCACTAAAGCAGCAGAAAATTAGATTTTGCTATAAATATGCTAAATATGTACATATGAATTGTTTTAGAGCCTTTTTGTTGGCAGAATCTGTTATTAATTGTAGCTCTTACACCTGGGGAAAAAAATGGGTCCCAACTGTGGTTTGGGTGGTATTGCCAAAGTGGGCTGGGAAATAAATCGAAAATGTATCGTTATCAAAATTTCTGACTCTTATCAAGATAATTTTTCCCATGTCGATAACTTGACAGTAAAAAATGAAATGATGTGTGTAGGTTGGCAACATTCATGTCCCTTTAAGAAGCTGAACCACCTTGAGTCACTAAAAATGTGACTCAATGTGAAACACGTGAAAGCCCCATCTAGTGGACAACTTTTATTTCTGCCATACCTGTAGTTATTGTCCATTTATTGTTGTCGAGGTTAAATCCTCAATTTATGTGATATTGATTTTAGGCTATATTGCCCAGCCCTAGTGTGATGTCATCGGTAGGCACAGATCTCCAGTCATCTTATTAGGAATTGGAAATATAGTCACCCTATTTCTCCCAGAACAGTGAGCTGTGGCTGCGTGCAACACCAAAATTACTTGCTTTATTTAGAAATGCAGCCTCGTTGCCAGCCGGTGTTGATGGAGCTTCAGTCCCGAATGTTTTTCTTTTTTTTCACTCATCAGCCACAGATCGCTGCTCTCGCTCACAGCAAGCTGGTCTTCCTACCGTGGTGGCTCACTCACATGTTCCCTCTCCTACATTAGTTGGTGATGCGGTGAATTACCACTTCACCAGTGTGTTTTCCTGTTTGTGAGACGAACCCTTCCTTCATAGCCAGGTGACTCGTACGAAAGCCTGGAAAGGCGGGGCTACTCCGAACCCCTCCCAAATGACAGAGCTTCTCGCCCTATCTCTAAGGGAGAGCCCAGCCACTCTTCGGAGAAAACTCATTTTGGCCGCTTATATCCGCGATCTTGTTCTTTCAGTCACTACCCAAAGCTCATGACCATAGGTGAGGGTAGGAACGTAGATTGACTCGGCTCTCTCTTCACCACGACAGACCGGTACTACACCCGCATCACTGCAGATGCAGCACCAATCCGCCTATCGATCTCACTCTCGAGTTTTCCCTCACTCGTGAACAAGACCCCGAAATACTTAAACTCCTCCACTTGGGGCAGGACGTCATCTTGACCTGGAGAAGGCATTCTACCCTTTTCCGAATCAAGTCCATGGTCTCAGATTTAGAGGAGCTGATTCTCATCCCAGCTGCTTCACACTCGGCTGCGAACCGCTCCAGCGAAAGCAGAAGATCACGTTCTGATGAAGCCAACAGGACCACATCATCTGCAAAAAGCAGAGACCTGATCCTCAGGCCACCAAAATGGTGAACAGAATCGGTGACAAAGGGCAGCCTTGGCGGAGTCCAACTCTCACTGGGAACGAGCCCGACTTACTGCCGGCAATGCGGACCAAGCTCTGACACCGGTCATACAGGGACCTAACAGCCCATATCAGAGGGCCTGGTACCCCATTCTCCCAGAGTACCCCCCACAGGGCCCCACAGGGCCCCCCGAGGGACGTGGTCAAACGCCTTCTCCAAATCCCCCACCCCCCAGGGTATAGAGTTGGCCCAGTGTTCCACAGCCAGGACGAAAACCACATTGCTCCTTCTAAATCTGAGGTTCAACAATCCGACGGACCCTCCTCTCCAGAACCCCTGAATAGACCTTACCAGGAAGGCTCAGGAGTGTGATCCCCCTGTAGCTGGAACAAACCCTGCGGTCCCCCTTTTTAAATAAGGGGACCACCACCCCGGTCTGCCAGTCCAGTGGGACTGCCCCCAATGTCCACACGATATTGCAGAGCCGCGTCAGCCAACACAGCCCCACAACATCCAGAGCCTTAAGGAACTCCAGGCGGATCTCATCCACCCCCGGAGCCTTGCCACAGAGGAGCTTTTTAACCACCTCAGTGACCTCAGCACCAGAGATTTGAGAGGCCAACCCAAAGTCCCCAGACTCTGCTTCCTCGGGGGAACCGCATCAATTCTGGCAGGAAGTCAAACCCAGATATAAGAGGCAGGCCGGTAAATTTAACAAAATAAAGCATTTCAAAATAAAATTCCTCGATAATCAAATGTGTTTGTAAACAGACACTGCATAAAACACACACACACACACACACAGAGCGAACTTGTGTTTGTGTGTGTGACCACATGAAGGGGCTGTGGTTTTGGGTGTCTTTCAACCGGAGCAAACAGGACAGAGGCAGAAAGTCATAGGCCAGCTATGAACAACTGGTTCACACCATAGGTTCACAAACACACACAAACAGCAAGGGGGAGGGGGGTGTAGAGGAAAAGAGCAGAGAAAAGGCAGAGGGGAAATGGAGGACACCAAGTGGTTAAAAGAAAAACTACAGCTGAGTCGAGGCACGCCTCAACCAGAGCGGAGAATAAAAGTGTCTGATCTGAACTGAGGAGCAGGGAGCAGCGGCCGAAATTCGTGAGCACTTTGCCTCCCGGCGCTTCGGCGGCTGGTGTGTCCCAGGTGTGAGAATGAAATCTGTTTCAGTGTAACCTTCATTCCAACATGGCCGAGACATTAGACAATTTAGTGATTATTTCACTGTAGAATTCTGACATGTTGCCCCTTTAAGCAGAAAAAATTTCTACGCAAATGAGCAATTTTAACCATGTGATTTTTTTTCTGTAAGGTTTCAAATTCAGTTTTTGTCACAACATTGGAGCTTTAAGGTTTTTTGACTGCCTTACTGCATTGATCTTGGTGCTCTGGTTTAGTTTTTCCTCCCGTATAAAAATGCTCCTGCTCATAGTGAGAATGTTTGCCAGCACAAGCAACAATGATTCAGTTAGCTACTGGAGGAGAAAATAAAGACGCTGAAAAGTGCAGAACAGTCTGTCTCTCAGCTGAGAGGAATCTGCTCCTGAATGACCTAAAATCCAAATGATTTATCAGACATGTTGGCTGAGGACTGTTATGTAAGATAATGGATCCAAATCCACATATTAAATTACTAACAGCTACTGCAGAGAAATAAGATTTTGCATGGAAAACAAACATTTGTTTCTGCAAACCTGAACTTTCCAAACTAAGACAGCGCAGTAAGGTTTAAAACTAGAACAATGTAATAATTAAGTAAAAGTTCAGAACTTCTGAATCACTGGAGTGATACTCCTGTTGCACAATCCCCACCACGAGAAGATTATAAATGTATCTGTTGCCATTCTTATTTAATCAAATTTTCATTGAAATTGATTTGAAATAGACAAAAAAAACATGCTTATTATCAATCAAGTTAGGTGAAAACAGAATTACAGCGTTTTGTCTTGGGGGCCACCACCTAGAGGTGGAACAATGTATTGCACCACTACGCTCTGTCCCCTGCTTCTGTCACAGGGAGCCTATGTCTCCTCCCCTCCTGCTCAGTTCATGTGCACGGAACAAAATAAAACAAAAATTAAACATACGAGACACCAGTTTTCTAAATAAGGTATTACAGCTATTGTAATGGTAGGGCAGCAATAGCTCAGGATGATGAAAAACACTCTGGGTGGTTTGAAAGCTGCTATAAAAGTCTAATCCATTGTTATTTTCATTTTCATTCATCAGTAAATGGTGGAAAGCCCACACTTGCAAGGGTACCACTGTGAAACTACGTTCCAACAAAACTGCCCGAGACAGCCCATTAGAACTACCGTTTAAACCAAATCTCAAATGGTTCAGGCTCTGTCTGAGTTACATCCTGCTTTTGTCGTATGGCATCACCTGACTCAGCCTCCTGGACTCACCTGATAATGATCAGAGGGAAAAGCTCCAGGCCGACTGTTGTTCCAGCAGGAGCTTAACACTGATGCAGGTAAAACAGAAGCTCTAAGGTCACACCATCAGCTTTACTCATCTAGTTATTTTAGTTTAATGGTGAGAATAAAAAGCATGAAGCCATTTTCTGGTGACTGAGGCCTAGTCCACACGTAGCCGGGTTTATTTAAAAACGAATATCCGCCCCTCCAAAAACTTGCATCCACACCACCTCATTTAAAAAAAACTGTCCACACGTACCTAAATACGTTGTTAAGGACATGCCAGACCTGTAGGCGGCAGTACTTCCCCCGTTCCTTACCTCGTCCTTCGTCTGTGGTCTTCCGCAAGGAGCAGTAATTCCGCTTGCAAAAACAAACAAGCAAAAAGCGCTTGGACAATTGATAAAGCAAGCGCAGCTCTGAGGGCATCCATGCTGTCGGCTAGTGTAAACACAGGTCGCACACATGATGTCAGCATTTTTTTGTCGCGGAAAGTGACGTTGCGGACCTTAAAACTCCAGTTTTGTCTGTCCACACGCAGACACCCAAAACGGAGAAAACGCAGATCTTCACTTTGGCCGGAGTTTTAAAAAAGATCCGTTTTCGTGTGAAAAACTCTGTTTTCGTGTGAATGACAGGCCAAAATGTAGAAAAATATCTACGTTTTGGCAGATCCCCGGCTACGTGTGGACAGGGCCTGACTATCCAGCCTACTTGTTACCTTTATTCTGCTTGAAACTCAGACTGTCACCATTCTGGGCTCTGAATAGTTCAAGGTCATCCAGGAAACACGGGAGTGAGAGGTTCGAGGACCTGATATGGATTGTCTTCATACTGGTCAGATCATGTCCATGATGTCTCAGGGTAAACAACAAATAAACAACAAATGTAAAAGCAGCCCGTTTGACATCAGCTGTCCAAACAGCTGGTGAGACGTTTAAAAAACACCTGTTTAAGTGCGAACATGTTCCACCTGAAGCGCTTCTGGCAGGAAAGAGGAACATGAAACAATCAGGTTTTAAATGTCAGCTGTAAACCTAACTTAAGTGAAAGGGGTGTGGTGTGGTTTGTAACAGAAACTTTTCATCTGAAAGTAGATTTTGTTGTTAAATAAAACTAAAGCCTTCCTGTCTACCTGCTGATTTCATATCTATTTCCTGTCAGATGCAGTCAGGTGCGCTCACTCACCTGGCCAAAGGCTGCAGGTCCACAGCAAAAGCAGGTGGTGATAATCCATGACAGCGTTTCAGAAGAAACCATCCAGATGCATAGCAAGAGAGTGTGTTGACTCTGCTGCTCTGAGAGGGAGTAGCAGAAGTAGAGCAGGAGGAGCACCTCCTCTTGCCTGGTGCATCTGATCGTCTGGCACAGATCTGTTTTTAGAGCCTTCCACTTTACCTTTTCCTTCTCAAAGAAACTCATTTTCTTCAAGACAGGAAATTCCTCTTTTTGTGTCTGTGATTCAGCTCACTGTGCTGAGGACCAGATGTGAGTGTCTGTTATTCACGAGGGCTCAGATAGTGGGTGTAAAGTCAGTTCTGGTTCTGTCCTCCCCCTGTTCTCCAACCTGCTTTATGTTTTCTAAAGATGTGGAGAGCTGTGTGTGTGTGTGTGTGTGTGTGTGTGTGTGTGTGTGTGTGTGTGTGTGTGTGTGTGTGTGTGTGTGTGTGTGTGTGTCAGCAGCAGCCATTTGTAATCATGGCTGGATGTCTGCCTCGCATCTGCAGACACACACATGAACTGTGTCTTTTTGTTAGTGCCCCGTCACCACACTCGTGCGCGCACACACACATGCACACGCACTCTAGTCTATCTTTCATTGTGAGGACCGTCATTGACTTCCATTCATTTTAGTGACTGGATTGTGCCTAACCAGTCTACTCCTAACCCTAACCTTAACTAAAACTTAGTTCACACCATACCTCTAAAACTAACCAGTAGATCTCTGTAACATTGTCCCAACGTGAGGACCAGCAAAATGTCCTCACTTTGCTACTAATGTCCTCAGTTTGCAGGTAAAAAGCTTGTTTTGGTCCTCACTTTGATGTATAGACCGGTACACACACACACACACACACACACACACACACACACACACACACACGCACGCAGGCACACACACACACACACACACAACTCTTCTGAGTTCCTCTCACCTGCTGTCCATCAGGAACTTCACATCTTGGATGTGGACAGCTGGTAAAGGTCTGTGGGACATTGACAGGTCTGGGTCGTCTTGTGGCCAGGAGAGTTTGGAGAAGAATCAAAAATGTTCTGATGTTCAAAAACAAATGTACTGGTGGCAGAAACGGGATATTTTACTTGGAACAGCTGATAAGGAAAAATAATCAGTGCTATGGAACATTTAAACCATTTTACTACAGCGGCATCTGCTGGTCAAATAAATGCTTTCTTCAAGAACACGGCTGTCAACATCGGTCCAAGTCAAGGGGTGACCTCAGCCAGCTTTTAGAAATTCACTCTTTTTCAGATGTCTGGTTTAAACATATTTAAATAGATGTGTCAGTCTTTTGTCAAGATGAACAATTTAGACCTTACTGGTTAGATAAATCCAAAGGGAGTTACAGGTGAAACTGGAATAATGAGAATCTGGTGAAAATGTTTATTTATGTCAGTATTTAAAGTTAAAAAGTGAAACTAATTTAGGATACAGAATCATTTCAGGCAGATCCAGACATTTCAGCCTTTATTTGTTATACCTGATGATGATGTTTATGGCTTACAGCCAATGAAAATTCTACAATGTCATTTAGAGTATTGTGAAAAGGTTCAATGTTCTAGACTCAAAATGGCACAGTCTAAACTATGGATGTATATTTGGTGCAATAACATTTGTGCTATTCATTTATTTTTTGTCCCTGGAAACTTAAAGTCACTGTTAGGGATTATATCAATAACCCATTTTCTGTAGTCGAAGAGAAAAGGAGACAATGAGCAGACCAGTCAACCAGATATAACTGTGGCACATGCACGAGGCAAAATGCACCAAACATCTGATCACAGAGTTAATTTAAACAAATAGATAAGAATGGGAGTGAGGTCATTGTGTGAGAGAATGTGTGTTTGTGTGGGAAGAACAGTGTGTGGGTGTGTCTGAGTGCTGAATGCTGAATGCTTCAGGACATTTGTGAATAGGATTAAAGCAATGAAATATAAAATTTCCATAACGTAATCCCTCCTTTTTATCCGAATAGGATAACCAACAAAAGAAAGCAACAAAAAAGAATAATAAAAGAAAAACAAATAAGGAAAATAATAAATAAATAAAATAATAAAACAATTTATCCACTTTCATAACTTGTCACCATTTTCTATGAAAGCTTCATTAATCACGATCTAAGGAATAGAGAAGGGGTAAAACCAGGAAAGGCGATCCTCTCGGTAGTCATAAGGACCAAAGAATAATTCTCAAACTGGTTGACTGGTCTGCTCATTGTCTCCTTTTCTCTTCTACTACAGGAAATGGGTTATTGACAAACATATTGATAAAATCCCTAACAGTGATTTTAAGTTTCCAGGGACAATAAATAAATAAATAGCACAATTGTTATTGCACCATAAGGGTACAAATCAAGCAACTCAAGACAAAAATGATAATCAATCAATCAATCAATCAGTCAATCAATCAATCAATATTTTATTAATCCCTGTTTCCCCCAGCGAGAGCAGCCATCTATGGCGCTCAGCTACTGTAGCCACAGGTGGGAGGGAGATCTTGGGAGAAGCGCAGAGCAGATTGACTCCTGCAGATTGATGACCTCGCCAGGCTGAAGTCCGCCAATCCGAAGGCGGGGGGGGGGGGGGGGGGGGTGTCAGGTTTTCATGTTATCTGTCTGCATTCCTTTGTGGGGGTTTGTAGCCGCTCAAGGCTGCCATGGCGTCAGATTCAGATAACAAGACTTTGTTTGGGTCAGGCTGAGATAATTTTCCTCTCTGCCTTCAATCTTTAAACTGATCATTTCCAGTCCTTCAGTGAAGCCAATTTTGGGTTTTTAAGCTTGTCCATAGTGTGCGGTGACTCTCTCCGAGATGACATCCATTTTGTGCACTAATACTGGTATCGCAGCTAGAACATTGTCCAGCTTACGATTTACCTCGAGTAACGTCCCAGTCTGTGAAGTCTCCACACGGACAGTGCTTTCCGTGGGTGCGGGTCGCCCTCCAATCGCTCCCGTCTTCCCAAATTTCCAGAAAAACCAGATATCCACCCACTCCAATCAGGAGAAATCCAGTGATCATCAGGCCGAATATCCACACGTCTTCAATGTCCTCAATGGACAGCTGGGAGAGGCATGTGATCTTCCATTCCCTCCAGGAATCCAGCATATATCCCACCGGGTGTGTCACTTGTGGGCATGTGGGAGCCCCCTGCTCCGTTCTCATTGTTGAAAAAATCTTATCGATCGCGTTGAATGACCAGTTTATCAAATCCATGGTTAAAAATAGGGTTTTTCAGAAGAAATGCGGAGAAGCGCACTGTGGGCAGACAGGACAAAGAGCCTTGGGGAAAAAAGATAAGGGAGTGAAAAGAGAAGTGTCTGTACTCCGCAAGTGCCAGGAAGAAAAGCATCAAATCAAGAAAAATAATAAGTAAAGTAATAAACACTACGATCAGATATGAAAGGTACAGAATCAACACGATGAAGTGAGAACACAGCAAGAGGTGCTGCATTCGTTTGTCTATCATGGATCGCAATCTCAATCCTGATAACTTCGTCCAAAGAATCATTCCATACGAAGTTTAATACAAAAATCTGCAAAAATGATAAGAACAAATAAAATAATAAACACGATAAGGCAAACACAACAGACAATAATAATATCTTACAGCAGTTCACTGTCATGACTCGAGGGAGGTGTTTAACCCAAGACATGCAGAATCAACACGACTTCAATGGGTGAGTAAAGAAAAGTTATTTTATTTTAAAACAGGAACAAAAGGCGCACTGGAAAGTCCAGTGAGGGTGTGCCATTTGGCTTTAGTCCATATAATAATCCAAGAAGTGATGAAAGGTGGGTAGCCAAGGTGAGTGTAGGTGGTGAGTCAGTGGCTGAGGCGGGTGAGGCAGCGGAGATAAAACTGCAGGCGTTGTAGAGGAGGATGGGACGTGGTTCTGGAAATCCGGGGTTCGAGCGGCGAGAGTAGTGTGTAGCGTGGAGTATCCTTACAGGTGCAATCATCCGGCGTAGTGTGGTGTCTCCATCCTCCCTTTATACCTGACCTCCTGATTGGAGATTCGGCGCACCCGCAGCTCCCTCCGCTCCTCACCTGTGGAAGATTGCCTCAGAGCTGGTTAGTAATGAGAGAGTGCTCACCTCAGCTCAGGAACATGACATTCACAGAGACAGAGAAGGTAATCAGCTAAATCAACACAATTATAACCTTGAGAAATGCTTTTTCATACTTACTGAAACAAAACCCTGCTGTCCGTACAAAGCAAATTGAGTTATCCAGAAGCAATGTTGCAGCAAATACTGAAATGGAAATGAGGATGATATCAAGCCAAGTGACAGTGTTTCAAACATTGGAAGCCACAAAACCTCTTCATCAAGATCTTCAGCTTCATTTGTCCGTATGAAGGCTGAAGTTGAACTTGCAGCTTTGACTGTGAAGCAAAAATTGTTGGATGAAAAACATGCACTGGAAGAAGAAGAGGAACGGCTACGTGAAAGAAAGGAAAGACTAAAACTGGACACTGAAATTGCTGAAAAAATGGCAACATTACATGTTCTTAATACGCAAAGCATAATAAGCAAGAAAGGATCGTCTAAGGTTTCGGATGGAATGAATTCCTACATCAATAAGCAAAGAGTTAAACAACCGCTTAACGCAGAGACATTGGAATTTATACCTCCCATTTCTGCAAAACAAAATACGATTATTGCTGAAACTCAGGGCAGGGCAAAGCAAAAACCCAATTTATGCACCTTGCAACAGGCAGCAATAACAGACTTTGACCAAAACAACCAACCTCACCAATGCTCAACTATTATTTCAAATCTACCTGATGCTAACGAACAAAATCATTACTGTGCAAATGATACCATGGACCAGGAACCACAAAATGATGTGATTGAAATAATGAGGAAACAAAATGAAATAACAACTCTCTTAATCCAAAAACAAAGCTTGTCTTCTTTACCAAGAAGAGAAATACCTGATTTTGATGGAAATTCGTAGTTATTATTAAAACCAGAAATCCCAGTGGTCACATGGAACCACTCGTCTGCCGTGGGGTTTCCATTTATTAATGATACTGTTGAAATAGAACTAGTTCTAGGTCCACGTGTCAGCACACCCATCCTGTTTTCAGGCTTGGGGGTGTGGATGACACGCGTGCAGAAGTTGTTGTTGTAAGATTTGGGCACAGACCAAAGCATGTGCAGGGATCAACAGCATTTGGACGCCATACACAAAGAGTAAAAGCATGGCATGGAGGGTTGTGGGTGGCTGACCATCGTTTTGTTGGGG